TCAACCCCTTCATGAAGTTTCAGATTGTTCATCGACCCCCAAACATTTATTATATGAAAATAATACAATAAATAAAATAAAATAAAACTATTTTAACTAAAAGTACTATGAATAATAATAATAATAGATAACTCTTAGGTCACTCTCACTGGCAGCTGATCATCCAACCCTGCGTAACACTGTCTCACCTCTAGCCACCTCACCTTTAGGACTAGGGATTGGTGTGGAGCTGTATAGAGACCCCAAAAGATTAATTAACCCCAATTGACTTTCCATCATTTATCGACCACCTATTGACACCTAGACATTTACTGACTCCCTTTTGACCCCTAGACATTTATCAACCCCTTGGATAGTCCCATTAACTCTTGGGAGTTGATACTGACTACTTTGTTCTAAGGTATGAATATATCTCCATGAGTTCTACATTTCTACTGAATGCTATGAATTTCCTGGTCAGGCAAAGCTTTAGTATACCATGGTTTGCTTGTTTGACCAATTAAGGTCAAGATGGTTTTAGTCTTACTTTGTTTTTGTGGTTGTGTGCACTTTGACTTGGGTGGCAATAAATGTGCATCTCATATTATATAATCTGTACAGGTAGTCCTCGCTTAACAACCATGCGTTTAGTGACCAAAAAGTTACAACAGTGCTAAAAAAGTGACTTACGACCAGTGCCCAAAGTTACGACCGTCCCATCACCCCTGTGGTCATGTGATCGTGATCCGGGCGCTTGGCAACCAGCTTGCACTTATGATGGTTGCAGTGTCCAGGGGTCACGTGATTGCTAATTGTGATATTCCCAGCCAGGTTCTGGCAAGCAAAATCAATGGGGAACCGCATGATTCACTTAATGACCATGGTGATTTGCTTAATGACTACAGTTGTTCACTTAACAACCGCTGCAAAAAAGGTTGTAAAATAGGGTCTGATTCACTTAACAACTCCCCCACTTAACAATAAATTTTCCAGTTGTTATATGAGGACTACCTATAACTGCTAAGTGGACTTATGAGGAAGAAATGGTGGACTGAAGATGGCTCTGCTAAAAGCAGAGCTGATGACCACAGCGGAATGAAGAGCCGGTGAGTAGACCAGCTCTTTGTAAATCCTCTCTGGATAAGGAGAGGACTTGAGATCACCCTCAAGTGCTCCATACAGTTGCTCCTCATGAGGAGACTTCAAGACAGTGGTCTCCATCAGGTTTAAAGCTCTGGGAGATGAGGGAATAGCCATCTTGCTCAAACCACAGTCGGCGCCTTTGAGGACAGTGGGTTCACCTTTTCTAATGGCTTTTGGAAATTGCTTGCTAACTGCTTTTTAGTATTAGGAACCTTTGGATCGACAAGTCTGAAAACACTGGGTGAGTTTCCTTCAATCCTTAGCAAAATAAGTTTTAAATACTTATTTAAAGTTTAAGGACTTAAAACATTTTTTTTGGAATAAACAACAAAAGGGTGATTAGAACTTTGATTTTGGAAAGTTACAAGTGGACTAAGGGTCCAGATAGATTTGAAATAAGATTTTGGAATTAATTATAAGAATCCTTTCCATGGGAAAATTCTCTTAAAAAAACATGATTAGGATGAGACTTTAAATGTTGGACATTAGTGGGAACCAGAAGGACCTAAGGATTACAATTAAAGGAGACGAACATTCAATTTGATTTACTAGTACGGAATGAAGCAAAATAGTTTAACATTGGACATATTGAAGGATGTTTTTGAACAATGGATCCAGAAATTAATTTTAAGAGTGTCTGCCTCTATTGATAGACTGTGTTTAAAAGATGTTATGAAACAGAAACAAGTTTTACCTGACAAGATTGAGATTGATCTGAAAGTGAATTTAAACATGACAGGCTACAAGAATGATATGGAAAACGATGCTACTCTGGACATACAAAAGAAACCGGCTGATATCTTAATAATTAAAAGGGATATACAAGCCAAGAGAATGACCTGGATAATTTTCCTATATTGGATTTACAAAAGAAGCTTGTTAAAGCTTTGAAGAATTTTGTGAGAAGAGGCAAAGAAAAAATGAAAAGAAAATCAAGTTCTAGGACATTTTTTGGACGGACTAAAAATCAGGTTTGGTAAAAATAAAAGGAAGGAATATAAAGTTGGTTTATTTGTTCAAGGTTA